GACTCAAGAATGACAGTGCCTAGTTCCAAGGAAAGTCCCTTAAAGTTATCATTAGGTCAAGCAGTCTTTTGGCATGGTGTAAATTATTTTGAAGGGATGGTGAAAAAAAGAAGGAAAGTGTGAAGATCATAAATTATCTTCCTTAAAAATGTAATGAAAAATCAAAGATTGTGACAAATGTATTTCTCTTACAGTGCCTTAGCATCTACAAGTTAAAAGGAAAAGGAACAGTAGCTTTTTCTAGGGCACTCAGGGCGGACTGAACCATGGTCGTGTGCTATACTAGTGCTAGCCAGCAAACTTTCTAAACTTAATTTTTCTTTGAATGACAGCTTTTTGGAAGTTATACAGGAGAGCCTTGGTGCATATACCAGGCACTTTGTAGATGAGTCAGGACACCTTAACTAAATCCATTCATTACCCTGTCCCCATTGGGACAGGCAAAAGCTGCCAATTTGATGTTGGTAATGTGGATGCTGCATTAGGGAATTGGCTAAGCCTGCCAGAATTCATTCCTGAACTTTAGCAGCCACAAAAGAGTATTTCTCTGTCGTCTGTAATTGATTCAGAGCCAGGTCCCAAAAGGACAAGCTTCCTTTTGTGTGCCATCTATACCAGGGTCTAAGGACACACAGTGCTACAACTTTTTTTTTTTTTTTTTTTAGCTAGATCACAGGAAACATCTTTAAAAAGAAAAGAAATAAAATACAAAATGTCATAAATTATACTCCTGAGTTTTCTAAGATACATTATTTATTAGCTTTATTACTATATTCTGGTCCATATTTTCAGAAAACATTCAGTCAGTTTATTATATTCTGAGTATTTAACGTCAATAGAGTGTTACTGTTTGGACATTAAATGAGGTCTGAAACCAAAACAGAGAAGAAATGTATTTGTATAAAAAATAAAATTTCCAGTGCTTCAGCTCACTGAGCACAGTACTTATTATCATCAGTTCATATTCAGGTCAGATTCCTCCTTCCTTTGAAAAACAGGTTGAAAAACCCTTTGAAGGCTTCTCCCATCTTGCCCTTACCCATCTGGTTACAAATTCACTAATATTATTCATCATTACTTTGTGTTTCATATTTGCATGTTCTGCATCTACTGTGTAATGCATTAAAGATTTCATACCACTAGATCAAATACTCCTAATAAGGATTATGAAAATTTATATACCTTATTAGCATCATCAGTCCATGCTGGCAATATTCTCAACTCATTCTGTAGAAAATATCCCAGAAATTTAACAAGTAGGACTCTTAGTAAAACTGCTGGCCAGTCCCAGTATATTCTTGTAGAAGTGGTTTGCCTGTGTGCTTGTATTTCAAATGGCTTTAAAAATACCAGAGTATTCTCACAGCTTCTATTCCCAGTTATCACCCTAGAAGTGACTTTTGATTTGTTGAAGCAGGCATCATCTGTCTGAACTTGAATACATTCACTGTATCTTTTCCTTCTATTCAAGTGCGAGTATATTCTATTAGAAATGTTTTTCAAAATGCTCATTAAACATCCAGGCTTATTCACATGAAAGCACCCAAGTGTTATAAATGCTTAGGATAGAGCCAAGAACAGAGAAACCTGTGTGTGGAAGGCTAATCATAGTTCAAACCCAATGGTTTTAGTGGTGGAGCCTTCCTTCTTCCCACCCACTCGGCAGGGGTAAGCAAAAGAACCCAGAAAGGGTGAGGCCCAGTCACTATAAATGTTCAGATGTTTAATAAATGTGCCATAGCTTTCACGTACTAACTGCAAGGCCTTCTCAAGCAGACTCCAAATTCCTGCTGAAATGAAGACTTTCTTTCCTGGAGTAGGCCTGGCATTCCTGGGAAACAATGGCCCTTTTCAAGTCGTCTCTGAAATTTCACAGGTGAAGGGAACAGGGCAGTCATTTGATCCCATCCACAAGGAGCCTGTTAGCATTTTAAAAAGCGAAGACAGAGTCTATCATGGAAGCACTGGCAAAACTGGTTAGTGACAGAAAAAGGCAACCTAGACCCACAGCTCAGGAGACCCCTGTGAAGCATAAATCAGTTTGTCTTTTACCTCATGCTACAACTTCTTTCTCAAATTTTTTCAAGCATGGGCTACACAGCTCGCAGAGCTCAGGAGACGGGTCTCTACGTTGTATCACGTGCTTTGGTACAGTGGCTTTTGTGATTCCTTTAGCCACTTTGAGAACGAACATACAAATTAAAGAAAGCCATTGCCAGGATACAGTATTGTGTATGGAGAACAATTACAAGTAATACATGAATTCAGGCTTTTGAAATGTTCTTTAGTGGCCTTATTTCAGAAAGACAAGCATATCACAGTAATTCCAGTTGACTGGTTATAACAATATTATCAAAATAATTAGAAAACATTCAGAAGTACATTCAGAAAACTTAGGAATGGGATGTTACAAGTGCTGCCTGTGCATTGATAACACAATGCACTTAGAGCATAAAAAGATTGCACTTGCAGATCCTGCTTGCTCAAAATGTCCAAATACGGTACTCTAAAGGGACACAAGAGCTCTCAGTTCTGTGAAGAGGACAGCAGAATGACAGAAGCCTCCCACATGATTTGAGGGATCATAGAATCATAGTTTAATTTTGGTTGGGAGGGACCTTTAAAGGTCATATAGTCCAACACCCCAGCAATGAGCAGGGACATCTTCAACTACATCAGGTTGCTCAGAGCCCCGTCCAACCTGACCTTGAATGTTTCTAGGGATGGGGTATCTACCACATCTTTGGGTAACTTGTTCTAGTGTCTCACCATCCACACAGTAAAAAATTTCTTCCTTATATCTAATCTAAATCTGCCCTTTTCAGTTTAAAACCATTACCCCTCATCCTATCCCTACACTCCCTGATAAAGAGTCCCTCCCCAGCTTTCCCATAGGCCCCCTTTAAGTACTGGAAGGCCACAATAAGTTCTCCCCAGAGCCTTTTCTTCTCTAGGCCAAACAACCCCAATTCTCTCAGCCTTTCTTCACAGGAGAGATGCTCCATACTCCATCCCTCTGATCATTTTTGTGGCCTCCTCTGGACCCGCTCAAGCAGGTCAGTGTCTTTCCTGTGCTGAGGACTTCAGAGCTGAACTCAGCACTCTACATGGGGTCTCACCAGAGCAGAGAGAGGGGCGGAATCACTTCCCTCGACCTGCTGGCCTCAGGAGAATAGGAGGTAAATATTCAGAATTAGCAGTTTTTAAACTGGAATATGCCACCAATTCATGTTACAGGAGATTATTTTCTTCCCATAGTTAAAAAACAAACAAAACAAACAAAACCCAACTTATTTAATAATTGTTATACTGGGAGGTATTTTGCCTCTAAAACTCAGAAAACTTATACAGTCTCTGCCTACAACATATTATAGGGAATATTATGCTTACTGATCTTTTTTAGGAGAACTTGAAGGTTACTTGAATACTGAAACTCATTAAAGAGTTCAAGTTTGAACTACTATCTGAGAACAAACCTGGGGGAATTAACCAGGTCATTTTATAAGCAAAAGTACCAGCATGGGGGCAATATACATGTTTGAGACAAGCTAAATAATGACTATTAACTAAGAGACCAATATTTCATACATGCTGTTGACCTAACTCATCCAGGCAAGGGAAAAACACCTTGGTTTTATTCAACATATATCTTGAAATAGCTGTTTCCTAGTATTACAAGGGGAAACTTACTTCAGTGTTTCTTTTACCTTCTGTCTTTGTACCATAATGAAGACTAGTGTTTCATTGCTTTTCTCCCATTAAAAAAATCTAACTTACTGTCAGAGAACAGATTCTTGTTTAACATTTTTTTGTGAGAATCAGTGAAGAAACTAATTTTCACAAGTATAAAGAAAATTGAAAAACAATTAGATTAACTAAAAGCCATTTTAACACTATGGCCAACCTGCATTTCCATCTTGAGTCCAAATTTTGCTCTTTGATAAAATGAAAGTCTGCCTCTTCATTTTTCCAGTCCATGTCATTAACAGAATAATTCCCTTTTCTCCTCAGGAAAAAGCCAAGTTCATATATAAGCTGATCAAGTAATAGTTAAAAAGAAAATTTGAGGTGGTTCAAGTGACTAAGATGAGAAGCCATTACCTTGTGTAACCTATATGAATTATGAGCAGCTTTGTACTTAACATGTGGAGGATATTTTTCCATTTTAAGTCCATCTTGGTTTTACAGCATAATTATTTATAGCTATTTCACTGAGATGGTCAAACAAAAAATGGACTGTAACCACTAAGAATTTCTGAAGAGAAGCAAAACTTCTTTAGATTCCTCTTTCCATCCTTCATTTCATCTTCTCTCACAGTGTACATGTATATGGTCTTTTTTGATTCTTGTAGGCAAAATTACTGGGGCAGCGATGTTGATTGGTGCTCATTGCTATGTAAAGGATATACTTTTCAGTAAACATGGTATGGGCATACTGTCCTGCCTTGGGCATGACAGTACGTGTTAGAATATTGCTAGGCCTATGCTGAAAATTCTCAGCCAGTAGTTTTGCTGTTGTGAGGATTCCATCATCATCAGTGGTGCTTACATTACTGTTGCTGAATACCTGGACAAATATTATATTTGGTCTTGTATTCCTTGAGCTCTTCCCAGCATACTTTGCCATTATTGGAAAAATATATCTGGATTTTTGCCTCATTTCTTGGACACCAAAAAGCTGAAAATCAGACCCTGGGTTTCTTTCCCTATTATTGACAGCTGCTTCCACATCCTTAGGCTTAGCAGCAGCATGCTCAGAAGGAAGCCCTGAGAGAGTCAATCAGTGCAGACAGGGCGAAGCAGGAGGGGAAGCTGCCAAGGAATTGCTTTTTGGGTGAACAGGGAACAAGGGAGCTCTGGAATGTGCTCACAGGACTTGTGCTGAGGTGCCTTCCAAAGAAAGTGGGTCAGCTATGCCACCCTCACAAAGACTGGTACAGTCTCCCGCAGGGAGAAGATTGTTTTACACAGGCGCTCCACCCATACTGGCAGAGAAACAGGGGGTATTGGCACAGGGAGGGACTAGTTGGTGGTCAGCTCTCCTTGGAGCAAGTCTGACTGAAATGACTGGAAGCACTTGCAGAGGTATGTGAGGCAAAGATTGGTGTTAGAATAGTAATTTTTTGTTGTTGTTGTTATAGAATTGAATTTAATAACTACGATATTGGGTACAATAAAGGGCTTTAGAATGACCTGAATAGCTCTTTTGGCAGCCTTGATCTTGCTTTACCACAAGAAATCCTCAGGATGTTTCAAACATTGCCACATCTTGGAGTTCCCTTTCAATTTTTCTTCAAGTCTCCCTTTTAATACTGGGTTTGAACTGTTGATGGATTGTGACTCTGAAGAAAGCAGGAGGAGGAGTACCTTGCTACTTGGGTATCATTAGTCCCATTCAGTTCTTTTATTTGTACGTGTAGAAGTTGGTTTTTGCTCATTTACTGAAACTCTGTTTCACCACACTGCTGTTTGAGTTGGCAGCATTCTACTTTTTATTAGAACATACGTAGGTCCAGAAACTGATGAAACATAAATAGAAGGTTCACTGTAGTCTACTCTTTTCAGGGAAAATAAACATCATAGGATGCCTAAAAAAGAAATACCATGTTTTATCTTCTTGATTAGAAGCTAGAATCTAAATGACTGCTTCTTACAGGCAAGACTAAACGGAAAGACTGTGCTGAGCTTTGCTTCGAGGAACATATTTATCTCTCTATTGTCTTCACAAGTTCCCACTACTTCAGAAGCATGGCATTGATTATATATCTTGCTTTAATGCTATGTGTTTCTGTAAGGCTCATCAATTAGAGAATGAAATACTCAGGATTTCAGAAAGCAGCTTACTGCAAACAGGTTTCCTTTTCCTTCCTTTAAAGTAATGGAAAAGTGTGGGTTTTTTTGTTTTTTTTTTTTTTTTTTCCTTAAAAAAGAGGAAAAATAATTTTAAACACTAAAAAGGCTATGTTCAAGGTTTTGTAGGAATTACAACTAGAAAAAGTAAGACAAATATCATCAATTATATCAGTACTAACTTTGGCAGAACATGCTGTGTATTAGTGTTCTTGGTGAGACATACAATGCCTGTCTGTTAGCAGATACTGTGGATATTTTCCTTCACTGGGTTACCCAAAAGAAGCTATTCTCACTTTTGAGTGCCAACGACTGGAGATGAGCTAAATTTGTAGTACCCATTACCTGTAAAGAGTACCAAAATAGCGACATGAAACCAGACCCACACAGAAGCTCAAAATGCCAGGGCTGAGTGTTTGCTGCTCAGACCTGAAATGTGCCCTCTCTTCCCCACCTCCCACCCCAGCTCTTCCCAACTCTTGCAGAAGTAAATAGGGCATTCATACAACAGAGACAGAGAAAGAATTTTGAAAGTTATAAAAAACTCCCTGTATGTAATGATACCTCCTATAGTGCTAACCACGATACTAATGAAAAAGGTACACCCTGCATGTGCAAACTGGCATCCTTTTAACAGTATATTACTTTTTATCCTTCTATGAGGCGTAAAGTCAGTGGTAAAATTCCCATTGGATCTAGTTTCCATTAGATTTCTTCAATCATATTTTAGAGCTTAAACATGCATAGTCATTTTTCAAACGTAGCACTATATGTTCCATCACTACACTGCACTTTAATTGTTCCTCTCCCTTTCTCTTTGTGTATTATTTAATGTGTTACTCCAAAGGCTCTTTGAATCATGGGATAGTGCCTGCATGTTTATGTAGGCAGAGCAAGACTTGAACAACATTAAAAATTTTAGTAACACTGTCCTGCAGAACCGCCTAGTCTAAGATAATATCAAAGCCCATTATTCAACTCACATGTGGGTTTATTGGGACTTGTATAACATTTTGGCCATAAGCAAACAGAATAGGGTTCTGCTCACAAGAGCTGCTCTCTTCCTACTGAGATACTTTAAAACTTAAAATACCTTTCTGTATTTTTCCTTACTTATCCTCTCCCCATTCTTTCCCTCCTTTCCTCATTGGAAGCCATGGAAGAAATCAGTGGTGATGATAGAGAAAGGGGGCACAGTAATTATGGTCCTATTAATGTTTATTAATTTTGTTGAATATCTTCAGCTTTTGCAAAACTGGGTTCTAGGTGATCTGTAGCAGAAAACACAGGATTGGAGGTTTTGTTTCAGAGTTGTGGACAAGAATAATTGCTCTGGTTCAGAAAATATTTTGAGGGGCAAATAATATGAGTATCCTCCTCAGCAGATCTGGTGATTGTAACCCCACAGTGTAGTGGGTGGGAGAGGTAAGAAAATATATGGCGTCTCCTTCAGTGAGTGCTAAGGGAATCAAGTGAAATGCTTATTAGCATGGAAGGGAGAAGAAGGGAAGGGTAATGCTTCCTTCCTGACACCATCAGCAGAGATCCAGGGTAGATGTTGTCTAGCGCCTATAAGTTTGCTTTTAATGATAGCATTTCATCAAGAGTGAGTATTTTTCTTTGTTGATTAATTCCCATTCAGATTTGCACTGGTACCTAACAAGTGGATTTGTGTCTTATAGGTCAGGGTTAGACATGAAGTCTTGCAAAAACAACCAGCTCAGAAAACAACAAAATGGAAAGAAAAGAAAGAAGAAGCAGCATTTGCTAATTCTGAGCTGTTGGTAACCCAAGGAAATCTGTTGGAGGATGTACATTGCAAATAGACTCTGCTCAAACAATAGGCCTAGAAAGAACTAGCAGAATGCAACTCATCCACAGAGCAATTTTCATCAGTTCCAAGCAAACAACATCAGAATAAAATCATCAGAATAAAATCCTCTTTTCCGTCTGCAGGAATTAAATGCATAAACAATTTCCGAATCAATTTAAGATGTAAATCAGATTCACTTTATTAGAAAAGCCAGAGGACATTTTGACTGAACTTCATTCTTTGTCAACAGTAGAAACTGCTTCATAATTAGTTAAGTATTGGAGCCTCTCTCTCTTCAAAATAGCTAATATAAAATTTAATTATAAGGAAGCTACAAGGAAAGTTGCATTACTGTCCAAGAAAATAGCAATTTAGAATTCTTATTATACCATCAGTCATGTTTTTAGTAGGAATATACTGGTAGTGGCTTTGCAAATGACAATCAACTACTACATTTCTTGCTATCTTCACAGAACAAATAGTATATTTTCCAAAGAATGATAAAGGTACATCATTGTACAGTTTAATAGGATCTCACATTATGAGCAGTCCAGCACTGAATTATAGAGATCTGTAATTTCCACCATACTAATAGTCAAATACAATCCTAACATTAATTATTTTGTTTGTTGAAAACAAAAAAATAAGCCTTTGTTAAAGCTGAAGTCTTTCAAGATTGAACAGTAAAGAATTAGGAAACAGGCAAACATATTTTAATTGCTATACAAGGCATCTCCTTCGTTTATGCTTTGCAAAATAGAAGTAATTCCATAGAATTTAGCAGAGTTATACCTAATTCAAATTTTTCAAAGTCATTATGCAAGTCATATGTTATGGAGTTTATAATCTGTTTCTTTAAATAAATGTGTGATGTGGGTTAAATGGACATCATGTAGCCTCCCAGATTAATAATTTTGGAGTGTGAAGACTCATTAAAGAGTGACAATTCTCACAAAACAAAGATTTTATCCACTGTTCTCATTTAAATGTATGGTTAAATAATAACTCTGTACTGCAGTAAGGTTTTATGATGCTTTAGGAAGATAACGGGGGTGGCAATTTGTTTTGATCTTCTAAAAATGAAGCAAAATCTAATCAGAATGTTCAAATAAAGATTTTTCTATATAGTATATTTTTTCTCTGAGCCTTCTATTATTATCTTTCTCTTCATGGAATTTCAGCTGTGTTTTATATGACACAGGATGTGAAATTTAGGACATCGGCTATGAATAAACAATTAACACTGCTCTTGAATAGCTATTATTATGCTAAAACTCTGTAATCCTTTGTATTAATGAAGTATGGTAACTGGTTTCCAATGATGTATGTACAAAGCAAGTTTTTAGAAAGATCCTAATCCAAAATTTGTTATGTCATCAGGGCCCTCCTTTTGACTCAAGTCAAGAAGTCCATACAGGTTGGATTACATGCACTACCAGATAAATCCAGCTGTGAGATTGACAAAGAACTGAATATCCTAGTGCATAGCAAGTAAAAACTGAAGTGATGCATAGCTTTTAACAAAAATAGAGAGGCTTCAACATTTGAAAGAAAATATATCATCATTCTAACCTTATGACCACATTTATGTCCACTGTCACTAGTAAAAAAACTCTAATTACTCTATTGAAAACATGCTGTCAGTGGATTTGGAACTGTGCAGCTAGTATGGAACTGGAAACAGGAGTAATGCCTCTTTATTACTATTTTCCTTTGTTATTCTTTTAACTATCATATGTTATTCTCTGGAAGAGGTATTTTAAGTCTCCATCTCACTTTTGTACCTCAGAAAACATGGTATTTTGTTCTTAAAGTAATGGGACTTTTCAGATCATGTTTTGGCATCACCTTAAGAGCCATTGAAGACTGCAGAACACATGCCTAAAAGCTTGGATCTCATTCACTTTGAAAATTCACAAAGGCAATGTCCAACTTCAAAAAAGAAAAATAAGAGTGGGCAAAGGGAAGCAACTGAAAGTCTGTTTGACCTCTGAAACAAGTGGGATTGTTGGTTCAAATCCTTTGAAGTATAAAATTAAGCAACAAATTCCAGGCAATAGATTTCAATTGAGTGAGGACTACAGGAATTGGGGTAGCCTATCATTCATTCCCTTTCTCTCCTCTTCTTCATAGGTGTATAGTAGTTTCCCGTCCCAGTAGCGGAAGCTAAAACCTACTTTTCTAGAATTGTAGTATGATTCCCCCAGCCTACCCAGCTCTTGCAAAGCCCCTTCAGGAATCTTTCTCAAAGGTCCACTGAAATGGGAAATGAAATAAGCTTCTCTAGATTCACTCTTCTCCAAACTTGTAGGGGAAAATAGAGCAAATGCCTTGGGAAGTATTACTTTATGATGTATCCCATTCATTATGAAATTCCCTACAGGGAGCACTCTGTGGGCAGCCCAAGTTATAGAAGAATTTAGACTCCTTTTCCTCTATCAAGTTCACAGCTGGGCTTTTAGAAGATTCTGTGATAACACTGCAGCAAAGCTACACCAAGTTCTGGTACCTGGGAGACAGGAGTATTGATTGACACAGATGGGATCAGAACATTCCCTTAAAATACATTTTAAAATATCATAGGCTCCCTTCCACCTTCATCCCCTCCTCCACTTAATTCAGTTTATAAAAGTCATAGGCCTAAATTAAAGAAACCACAGATTTCACTATGCAGTGTAATAAATGGCTTAATTGAGCAGAAGTCTTACTTTTATTCTCAGTGAGATGAATACATTGCTGATGATCTGCGTGTCTCTGCACAAAGTGGGGAGATGGAAATGCAACTTCACTACAGAGATAGTAAATCTGTAACTCAGCCCTGTAGATGCACTTCTTTTTACTGTTAAGATTAAAAAGTGAAATTGGTGCACTTCTTTAGCTAAACTTACAAGAGAAAAAGATACCTTTTTCCTCTGTGCTCTGAGTCTGTATGGGCCCATTATGGGAATGGTATGGATGCCTGATCCAAAGTTTACTTTGATGTGGCCAGCTAAAAGATTCTGGTCTGCTTCCTAGCTGAAAGACAGGCACATCACATAAACTTTGAGCTGTGCGCTTGTTAAGTTACTTCTGTTATAATTCCCATGCCTTGTCAACCTTTTTTATTTTAAAGACTGAGCAAACCTCTTTCTCTCAATTTGTAAGTATTATTTCCAGATAAATATTGCAACAAACACCATATAGATCAGGCCTCCCTTTCTGTCCAAAAAATACATGGGGTCATACTGTGGGTGTCACTCTTTGTTCATTGGTGAACTCTTCGAGTTATTTTTCTGACTAAATTTTTCATTATTTGAATGCAGACCTAAAAATACAGCAACACTAAAAGGTTTCAACAAAAGTTCATTTGTACAGCTCACTAGCCCACTATACCTTTGTAAAGGCAACATATATGTTTGTAAATCATAAATGCTGGAAGAGAACATATATTACTGGGTCTCTGATCAAGATTCAGAATGAAAATATGTTAATATAAGGTCCTTGTACTCTTGTCTTCAGCTACGTCTGTTTTGATTTTCCTCTTTATAAGATAACACCCATTTGTCAATGCACATGCACACACATGCATAAACTCACATGACGTGGGCGCATACTAAATAACCAGCCTTATAGAGAGGGAATACAATATTTCAGTGACTGTAGAATGAAGCCCAATTTTATTGGCAGATTTCAATGATGCTAGACAATAAAACATTTGTAAGTTTTGCTGCAGACAGTCTGGCTGGCAGTTTCAGCAGCGCTAATTTATTGTGAATAAATAATTTCCTGGAATCTCTGAGGAGTCATTTTAATGCTCCAAAAAAATAAAAATCTGGCATGCCAATAAATTTGTTTTCTGTTGTTTTCAACCAAAAATACTTAAAATGAAAGAATTAAAAAGCACACTATTATTTCAAAGGTAGTATTTTGTAAATGTTGAATCTACCAGTTTCACACTGGTTTTACACATGAATAATCTGTGTTTACTTCATCTTTATATTTAAAGGCATGCCAAATACCATCTGTTTGCAGTTTCTTTTTTGTGAGTTATTTCTCAGTTCCAGGCAGAGAAACTATCCAGGTTAAAGAACTCCCATATTTCTGCAGAGTATATTTAGACTTTGTTTGTGTTTCTATCCTACCATAAATTGATTATTACTTGTAGCACGACGGTGATCGGACCATTTTCAAAGGCAGTGCATTCTTGAATCAGAAACAGAAATTCAGAAAAGCAGTGTGAAAACCAACTTCAGAATATGTTAGAAGCCAACTGTAAAAATATAGACGGAGTCAATTAGTTGATTCAGTTTTGCTGCCATCAGCAAAAAAAAAAGAAGCTTTAGTTTCCACAGTTGCTGAGTACATTTTTTCCATGAGGCACCTCACGGTTCCTGCCAGTGGACTAATATAAGTAGCTATTGCACTTTCATTCAATTCTTATTACCTTGAGGTATCCAAAAGATTCCAAATAAGAAATTGATCCAATAAAAGGGATAAACTTTTATCACCAATAGCATCACTTAGATATCTAACGTCATTCCAAGAGACTGTACCACTTCTAGTTTTGTTGATACTTGTCATTAAATAATCTTCAAACAATCCAGGTAATTTTCTGGTCTCTGAACTACTTCTAAGTCATGAAACACTATGATGTTCAGATGCACAGTTTGTGAATCTAATCTATTACCAACAGTTAATTTTCCTGAATTACTTAAAATTTGATGCTGGTTAAATTTGTCAGTTTTTGGGTCATCATTTTTATGTTCTATTATGTCATGCAAAAACCTGTATGTAATACAAGTTGTACAAATAGGTCAACAGGACCAGGTAAATTTGTGCTGATAAATTCGGAGGTCAGTCTTATAATATGGCACTTTGTCACTGTGCTGTTTCCAGTTTTAGATATTTTACAGTCAGTGACTATTAACTTAATATTGACTTCATATTAAATGGCATTTGTGTAATAAGCTTGAAGAACACTTTATTCAATTATGTTACAGTTTATAGTTTACTGTATTTAAGTCCGAGTAAAGCCCATAGTTACTCAGATGAGTTCCTGAGACAGCCAGTCTTGAAGTGAAATTTCCTCAGAAACACCCAAGTAGCCTTTTCCTGTTGCAGCAGATTTCAGAGTCCGTCAGAAGACATTTGTAAAGGAAACTCTGTACTCAGAATTTATCCTTACATTTGACCTGTCCCTATTAGCATCTCCCTTTGCTTCACACTACTAATTTTTCTGACTTTCTCACCCCAAATTCACGTATCTAAGGATGTATGACCTTTTTAGTGCTCCTGCAAAATTACAGTAGATGATCTGGTTCAGAGATGATTCTATCAAAATATTTTATTTTTTCTCATGTCTTTTGTCTCATAGATGTTACTGTCCCTATTCTTTTACATTTAAGATCTTAAGTTTAGACAATTTCTTTAGGATTGAGAGTTGTGCAATCATGGAACAATAACATAAAGTTTTGGTGCCCTTTCTAACATGAATTGTTTTATAATAAAACAAATTTTTGTTAGGAAGAGGAGAAAAATAAAAGTCTTCATGATAAAGGCCTCCAAAGATGAAGGATCTCAGAGAAGTCTGAACAGTCTCTTCTGACTGGGCAACAAACATACTTTTGAACGTGAAAAGATGACTGCCTGAAAGATCACAGATTAAATGCATATTCTTGATTGCCAGAATCAACATTTCATCTTTTTTTTTTTTTTTCTGTTCTGTGAGAAGAGCTTCTATTACAGATGTGCACAAAGGCTTTTCCTACAGCTTATTGGTTTGTATTAAGAAAACAAAAAGTTCAGTTCTCTTAAAAAAAATGGGACTTGAAAAAAGAAACTCCTCAATTTACTTAGCCTTTAAAGACCCACTGATTTATTATTTAGTAAAAAGAAATACGTTTCATTCCTAATTTAGAATGAATCTTTTTTTCCCTTTAGTTCACTGCTGTGTTATTTTTTTTTAATTTTTGCTTCTTTATTCTACTTAAGATATAATATATTGCATATATAAGTCTGTGTATTTTTATTACACAAGTGATTCTTTCATAGAGAGTATCTGTTTATCCCACACTGTTAGAAGGAAACTGTGTTGCCTAGTAGTATTTTTAACAAATGTTCTGAAAGCCAACTATGTTCAGGATACATTAAT